CACTATTTTTATAAACCGGAAAAAGAAGATACAGAAAGACTTAAGAAGTGAATCACCTGTCTAATTCCAACAATAATCTTCTAAAATAAAAAGTAAGGTCATAATCTAGGAGTAAAGGGACAGCATCATAGTTTGAAACCTAAGAGAGTTGTGAAGTGGGAAATATCATCAATAAACTTCAAATACACACCAAATATGGAAATAGCAATTGTAATGTGTTCGTTACAATTTGGGCAAGTGATGCTGTTCATCATTTCCTCAACTGTGCTTGCCCTCCAAATCACACTACTCTTCTATTAAAAGTTTTTTAATTTTCTTCTTTTTAATTTTCTTGCTCTGCAACCCTTGTCAGCCTAAGAGTCATTTCTCCATCTTGTTTTGGAGCTGCCAGCAAGGGATTTTCCTGGCTGCTGTCTTGCCCTGAAATATTGTTTCCTGCTTCATATATTTTCCTTTGATTCATTCATCCTCCACAGTTCTTTGCTGAAGGTGTTTCCCTTTCATGCTTTAAGAATTATTCTTTCTTATTTTTATTCTTGATTTGTACATAATTGTGAGATAAAACGAGGTATTTATATGTATATTGTGTAATGATCAAATCAGAATAATTGGCATATTTTTCATCATAAATATTTACCACTGTTGTGATGGAAAAATTCAAAATCCCCTCTTCTAGCTGACAGAAAAACCCATGTGTATGTGTACATAAAAGTATATTAAAATATTAGTTAAGATAGTTATAATACTTATTTCTCTGAGTTCACTGAGAGGAAAGATTTGTTCTGACAATAGAATTCAGATGTCTTGTGCTCTGGGTGAATGATTTGGGGATGACAATGCTCAGTGTGGGTACCACTGCTACCCTCTGATTGATGTGTTTTGAAATTTTTTTGTAGTTTGTTTTTTCTTTTCTTCTTTTTTTTAATCATTAAAATAAAATGGACTTAGAAAAAATAAAAGATAAAAATAAATGTAAAGCCTCACTATCTTTTAAAAAAACCTCTCTTCTATTTTTAAAGTTATCATTTATTAGAACCACATGTTCCATAAAGCCCCAAATTTTTTACTCTAACTGTAACATTATACACACTGACTAGCCCATTCTCATTGCTCCCCTTCCTCTACTCTTCCAAGAGTAAGATTTCATACATGAATGAGACTATAAGGTATTTATCTTTCTTCATTTAACATAATGTCTCTTGGATTATTTTGACTGGAAAACATGCTTTTCATTTATGTGCAACTCTGTTTTCCTCTTCTGTCCTCAGTAAAAAAAAAAAAAAAAATGAAATTTTCTTCCTGGTTGAAGTTATAACTCAGGGTCATAAATGCCTGCTGTCTATCACAAGGTCCAGAGTTTGATTCCCAGTACCGAGAGACAGACAGACAGACAGACAGACAGAGAGAGAGAGAGAGAGAGAGAGAGACAGAGACACAGAGAGACACAGAGAGACAGAGACAGAGACAGAGACAGAGAGATCGAGAGAGGGGGAGTAATTTTCTTATGCCCTACACTAGGTCCCTTCTAAGTGCTAATGTTATACTTGGAGGACTCAGCCATAAAATGATATGCAAAATTTATAATCTTTTTAGACTTCTCAGGATAGAAATCTAGTTACCTATTTATCAAAGGATCAGCTATGGATCTTTCCTCATCTATGCAACTGAACAAGTAAGCAAGCAAAACAATGTATCTGCTTTTTTATTTTTTTCCTCCATTTGTCTGAAGTTATTAACTGGGACATGACCTTGACTTTTCTACAGTCATTTGTGAATTTTTGGGAAGTAAGAGAATAAAAAAGAGTATGTGTATGTGTGAGGGTCCACTTTGAAGCACTTGCTGATGGAGTGGAGCAGAGTTATCTGCCAGGTTTGGGCCAGGGAACCCTGATCAGAGACAAACAAAGACCCAAAAGACAGATATCTTTGTGGGGAGGTCAGGGCACTCTATTGGAATGAAGCCCTGAACTGATTTAAACTCTCACATTTATTGAGAAACAAATAAATGTGTTTTGTTCTACTGAACATGGTGCATATTTAAGATTATAAAGGTATGACAATAATTAGGCCAAATTTTACCTTGATTCAATTGTTTCCAGGATGTTCCTCCTTGTTTCATTGGCAAAGCTTCCCCTGCCTGAGCTGGCAGACTGTCCCATCTTCAAGATGTTCTGACTCCTCTGGGTCAGCAGTCTTCTGCACCTTGAGTCAACTCAAGCAGATGTTAACCTGTTGGGTGCCAAAAGAAACTCCACAGATATCCTATGTCCTTGAACTGCAGTGTGGCATTGAAACATTCTGTGAACTCTGCTCTGCAGAACTTGAGTTAATATAGAAAGAAGGTGGTTTCGGACCTGATTTGAAACATCCTGATGGTATAGATCTTTGAGGTATGATCAAAATATACAGGAATGCTTCATATTTTTTAAAAATTAAGGGACCAGAGGTTTAGCTCAGTGATGTAAGTACCTGCTTGGCAAATGTGAGGTTGTGATTTGGATCCCCAGTACCAAAAAAAAAAAAAAAAAAAAAATATATATATATATATATATATATATGTAAAAAACACATTGAGAAGTAAGAAGGCTATGAACATAGGAACAGGTACTTCCAGAGCTGCTTCAGAAAGTGGCAAGAATGGGGTAAGTGGGTTTGAAGTAAATGAGAGTATTTGAAGGGGCATTAATGGCAACATATATTTTTCTACAATAATTTTTAATTTAATCACTCATGGTATTTTTCAGTCATACCTCATGTACGCAGAAAGGCAAAAGGCAAAAGCCAAAAGAACCCACACTAGTCCCAAATCTCATTCAGTACTGCTTCCTCTCTGCTCCTCTTCTAATCTGTGGGTCCAGGAGATTCTCAGCTTTTAAAAAAGTCTTCTGTTGCTTCTCAGAATAAATGTATTGGCATTTATTTCTATCATCGCAAGCAGACACACAGAGGGGTAGCCCCTGAACAAGAGAGTCCCTAATCTTAAACACACCAAGTGTAATGCATGTTATTGTTCTAGAAAAAGTGGTATGAAACCAGACTACCTGACTGGTGAAGGACAAACAACAGAAAAGAGGTTAAAGAAACCAAGACTTCAAATCAGATGTATCTGACAACTTTGATAACTGGGGTCCTGTGACAGTAAGAATATCACTGTAAACCTAGTTTTCAGTGAGATAGAAAAACAGTTTGAAGTATCTCTAGATAAATAAATGGCAGCACTCTCCTTGTGATGAACTGAGTGGAAGAGGACTGCCCAGGTCTGTGCCCCTTTCAGATTGGCAAGATTTTAAAGACCAAGAGATGGATTCCAGATGTCTTTGTTTATGGAATATGCTGTATAAAACATTAGCCTAATGCTTTGGGGCAGCTTTCACAGGTACTGCTTCAAAATCTTTCAAGCTTAAAGGAAAAGCACATGTATTAGCACTTAAATATTTTCCACATATGTATAAATTTCATTATGTCACACCTGTGACAAAATCAAAGTCATTAAACAATATCCATCAAAAATATTTATTTGAACACAATTAAAAATCAGACACAATTGTATCAGTCTATTAACTTGATGTAAGTATTCACTAAATATACAAGGTATAAGCAACATAAATAGCCAGCATATGTTTGTGACTTTTAAATGTACAATTTTTATTTACTTACAGTGTATACAGAATTTAGATGATGATCAATAACAAAAGCTTTCTATAAAATTGGTCTTTAGTCAAATTATGATCTGTTTTTGAGTAAAATATTTCAGGATGTGGTAATTCATCAAAGTATAAATACATTGTTAACATGTAAATATATGAAAATATAATCACTTATTAATTCATTCCTCAATTATTTTATCCTTGCTAATTAAAATAATATAAATATGTGAGCGACTTGTGTTTTTATATAAATTAAAGCACTTTATTTGGTCCAAGTTTCAAAATAAACCCTTGAGACAGATAAATCAGAGATCTGCGCCTCTCTTTACAAGTGAAAAAATTAAGACCTAGAAAAGTTCGTTCCACTTACACAGAATGCCATCTCTCATTTCTACTTTATCACATAGAGGAATTATAGAGCCAAGTGAGAGAGGGAACATCTCCCAACATCAAACTGCTTTGAGAAAACTCAGTATTGGTTCATCTATTCACTCATTAACTTATGGATCATTATTTTATTCTCTTATTTATTCTATCATTATTCTTCTTCAACCACTTTTTCAAATATTCTTTCTTTATTACCTTGTCACCATCAAATGATACCTGATTGAAGGGTTAGCCTAACATGAATGAACACAGTAAACTCAGATAAGATTGCTTCCCTACAGATCTCAGATTCCACCATGGGAAGATTACAGATATTAAGAATGGTGGGATGGCATCAGGCTTTACCTAAGTAAAGGTGAGTTCAATGGAGGCAAATGCAAGTGCCTACAAACCTCTGGCTCTCCCATGGGGGAAAAAGTCTTAGGAATCTTAAAGTCAAATTCTGATGTCCCAAATATCAGAGCTATCAAACTCAAAAACATTACAATTTCAGAAACCATGGTATCAAAGGTCCTGGCTCCTGGAAACATCAGACATTAATAACCCATATTAGCCTTGCACATTACCCTAACCCTAACCCAACACACTCATCCCATAATTACCCCTGTCTGTCCTTTTGCCTTTTTCAGAGCTGTACAGGCCCAAACAGAAGCCCCAGCATACCACGAAACATTTTAAAGTTATTTTTCTCCAGAAAATAATCTTACTCTGTAGCGTTGCTCAATGTTCTTTCATAATTATTGAAAACGATCATTTTTCTGCCCTTGGGGGACATTGACAGAATTAATTTCTGAATATTAACCAAAATGGTGCTATCAGGTTCTATCCTAATATTAAAGATTAAATAATTGATCGTTGGCCTTCCAGCTTGAACTGCATCACTCATATTCCCAAATGATCTATTCCCACTCGGGACTCACGGTTGCAATACTCCTAGGTCATCCAATACTTTCAGATTTGCCAGAGTTAGAACCTGACCCTGAAAAGTAGTTTAAGAAGCCTACGGCGTATTTCCTTTGTTTTAATGGAATAGATGACAGGATTTAGCAAGGGGGGTACAAAGAGGTAGAGCAGTGACATGAGAATATGGACAGAATGGGGCAGGCCAGCTCCAAAGCGATGCACAATGGACACACTAACCATGGGCACATAGAAAATAAGCACAGCTAAAATGTGTGACACACATGTGTTGAGTGTCTTGACACGTTCTTCCTGAGCAGCAATGGCTAGCACCGATCTCAGGATGAGCACATAGGAAATGAGGATGAGTGCAGAGTCCAGGCCAAAGGTGAGCAGCACAACAGACAACCCATAGTGGCTGTTGAGAGAGACGTCTGTACATGCCAATTTAATCATGTCCACATGAAGGCAGTAGGCATGGGAGAGAATATTCTGGGAGTGGCAGAAGGGCAGTCTTTGCAGCAGCAGTGGGAAAACTAGGATGAGGACAAAACTGCGGAGGACAATTCCCAGGCCCATCGCCACAATGCGGGCATTGGTGAGCACTGTGGTATAGCGCAGTGGGTTGCAGATGGCCACATAGCGATCAAAGCTCATAGCCAGGAGAATGCCAGACTCTGTCCAAGAGAAAAAGTGGATGAAAAACATCTGGGCCAAGCAGGCATTCAAGGTGATCACACGGGCATGGAAGCAGAGGGCAGCTAGTACAGTCGGCAGTGTGGAGAAGGACACACCCAAGTCATTGACTGAAAGGAGGCACAAGAAGTAGTACATAGGCTGGTGTAAGCTCTGCTCCAACCTGACAATGAGGAGGATCAAGGTGTTGCCCACAATGGACACAGCGTAGAATAAAAGGAGAGGGAGGACGAGCCAGGGCTCCGTGGCCCCCATTCCTGGAAAGCCTGTCAGAATAAAGCTGGGATCAACAGAAGCATTGATCCTGAAGTTGCCCATGAAAAGATGGGGACATGCCAGCTGGGTCTTCTGGAGAAAATACACTACGTGTTTAAGATTGCTACTGTTCCTAGGGAAGAAAAGGCAACACACTGGTTTATAAATTGTAATTACAAGTGGATTTTATTCCTGAAATTCACTGGGGAAATGGCTAGGCAATTATGGAATGCTAGCTGCAATCACTTTCTGGGTACCCTTTTCCTGGTCTTTTCACAGCTTTCCTTCACATGCCTCAAATTTCCCAGGCATTACTTCCAGTGATCTAAAAGTGAAGTTAACATTTTCAGTCATTCAGAAAAAGAAAGAACAGACTTGGAATGAGTTGTGGATATTGCCTATTAGTAAGCATTAAAGACATACTTTTTTGGCATTTAAATCATGTTTAGATGAAAAATTTATTGTGCATTATTGTTTTCTTTGGCAAAAATCATAAGATACGTTTATATAAAGCTTAAATATAGAAATTTTTGTGGGTGCCAGAAATTGAACTCAATACTTCCTGCTTTCCAGGCAGGCGCTGTGCCACTGAACTATTATCTCCAGCTCAAATTCAGAATTTTAAAGCATATAACATCACACAGTAGTAGATCACAGTCAGACAAGCATAAGTAAAATATAAAAGAATGGAGAAAATGATAACACTGAAAAACTCTACCCATTACCTTATTTTTCCTATAAATTGATAAATAATAGGATTCATTCATTTCCATAGCAGACCTTTGTCATTCCTCCTCCTAAATGTCAAACTTCACAGAAGACGAGAGGTGTGTTACATCAGCTCAAACCCTGTTGTGTGAAGAAATGACAAAGGAGTAATATGGTGTATTCTACACTCTTCTCCTCACTGTTGCATTGTGGAGTTTCAAGCAGAACCATTTGGAGAAAGAGCTGCATTTAAGAATACTTTATGTTATCTCTGTGCCATGTCTCAGAAACCCTGCACATTCCAGAGAAAAAGTGGCTCACCACGTTCACAATGTAGGTATTAGAACCCATTTGGTTTCCCACAGATAATTTCTAACATTTGAACTTAGTTTCCTACCATCAAAACCTTTATGTAACCTCTATCATATTTAATATTTTATATGATTCCCAGAAGGATTTTTTTTTCATTTTTCTGTGGCAAAAGCTAAGTATTATATTAATGAAAAATCATATTAGACAGCAGAGAAAATTCCCCGCTGGGAAATACAGATATGGAAATAGCGCACAGGATCTGCTGCTGATGAGGGGTTTTGTTAGAAAGTAGCTCGGAAGGTAAAGACTTGAGACAGTGAACCAGATAATCCAATCAGCCAGATAAACCTGTGCAGTCCAGTGAGTGCCCATTACTGTTAGAGAGGAAGACGCTGAAGATTTCAGAGAAGACTGTCTTGATGTCACCCACTTCTTCAACAAGCTATCGGAGTTTCTTTCCACCAGGTAACAGGTTTCAGTACAAGGAAGTCTAAAGCTGTCCTAACCAAAACCTGCTGCTGCAGTGTGACAGCAATGCTAGCATCTCTTTCCTGATATAACTGCAGATATCAGACAGTGACTGAGTGCCCCTGCTGACATACCATCCTCTCTGTTCCTTAGTAATCTCCCTATGCTCATACTAAGCAAAAAGTTGGGGCAGAGTATAAAGAGAAAGACAGCGACAGACAGTCAGGGATAAAGCAGCAAAGGAGAAAGAGATGGAATGAGCAAGCGCCCAGGGCAAATAATACTGACAGGTAAGAGAAGTGAAATGCAAGATCCGTGAAGGAAATATAGGGAAACGGGACTGGGTGGTGGAACGCGGAGAAATAGGAGAGAAAGGCAAAATGAAGCAGCTGTGAGGAAATGCCCAGGCGCTCATGGGAGAGATGGGCTATGCTCTCCCCAGGCCAGGCCACAGCTGTAGAAGATCCCATACTCACACCACATTGTACAGGAGCTCAGCCTCTAGGCAACAGAAGGGCTTCAGCAAGACCTGATATCCGCTGCCAAACCCTAATGGAATAGGCTCCTCAGGGCAGAATCCCAGAGTTTACTCTCCATTCCAGGTGTGGCTCACAGCTCTGTGCAAAGGACAAGGCAACACCCCTCTCCTCCCAGCCAAGCATGACTTACCTGTCCCCACACTATTGTCTCTTCTCTCCTGAGGTCCTGGAAAAGGAAAGCCCTGAGGATCCTCTGTCAAATTAAAAGTCTGAGTACTGAATGGCTCAGGACTGGCAAATTAGAAAAATCAAGGATAGAATCCATTCTTCCTAACCTCCAACTCCAAGATGTCCTTTCCACAAGCCAAGTTTCCACTCCAGGTCCCTTTTCTCAGGAGACTTTTAGAAGCCAGACTATGCAGTTGCCTCAAATCAAGGCTGCTATAAAATAGCCATCAAATAGATCAATATTCTGTGTGGTCCCTATATTCCACCAGGAACTTTATGAATATTGTTTTTATTTAGTTCTAAAAACAAAATTTATATTGAGGGAATCTCTTCCCACATTCCTATGAGACACCTGAATGCTCAAGAGGTCAGAGTATGCTCAGAATTACAATACTGCTGAATAGCAGGACCAGTACTTAGTCAGCTAAGATGTTCAGAAAACACAATAAATCCAATACTTTATCCATCAAAGATTCTGCTAATCATTATCACTTTTTTCTTTGTATCCATCTATTTAATTGATTATTTCTGCCTTTGTTTCTCCCCCCTTTTTTCTCCCCCCAAATTAGAGGGGAAAAACTATAAATGAAAATTAAAATCAATTTCTCTCATCCTATGGTTGTAAATCTCTGACTTTCCTTCTGATAAGGGCACAAAGATCTGGAAGGCAAAGTGGACTCTTTCTGCTACCTTCCTCCCAAGTCCAGGCTTTATGTTGGCTTTAACTGTATCACCATACAAACAGATAAATCAGGAATTTGAACTTTTCATTCCCAGTGATTAAATGGTTTGCTTGCTTTTTTATTGAGCTCTAACTTCACACCCTAAAATTGCTTAGGGCACAATTGAACAGATTCTGTTTATTTACAGTTGTGCAGTTATGTGCAATATCTAATTCCACAGCATCTAAATCATCCTACTAGATACTCCTAACCATCACCTACCATTTTTCCTATCATTTTTCCCAGCTGATCTGTTTTCTGTTTTTTCAGGTTTGCCTATTCTGAATGTTTCATACAAATGTAATAAGAATACTTATGTCTTTTGTATATGGCTTCTTTTTGTGTGTGGCTTCTTGTGTTATAGTACATATTATTTTTCTGTTACTGATAAAATACTTCATTGTATGAAAAACCATAATTTTTTCACCCCTTTAGAAGTTGATGGACATTTATATTGCTCTCATTGTGGGGAGGTGTTATGTCTAGTGGATTTTTAAAAAAATTTTAATTAAAGAAAGACTAAACAAAACAAAAAATAGGTAGAAATAATACATACATGCAGAGAAAAAATAAACAGTCAAAAATCACTAGTTGATGTTTACATATTGTCATTTTACAAATAGTTGTTTAAGATACAAAAAGGGAACATGTAAAGTGGAAATTCAAACAGCGAGACCACAAAGAGTTCTGTTGAACTGTCCAACAAAAACTTAGTAATATGGTTGTCAATCCTATACACTTAAACATACATGCAGTTATCCACATCTTCATTTAGGCTTAGATTAAATGAACTAAAGCAGGTTAAAATCATTCTGAATAAAGAATAATAGTATTGTTGGATTTCACATCATGACACTCCATGATCAGCACTAGGTACTGTAGTGTCTTTTTTTAAATTTAATTTAAAGAAAGACTAAACAAAACAGAAGACAGGTAGAAATAATACATAATTTCAAAGAAAAAAATAAACAGTAATAAATAACTAGTTGATGATTACAGATTGTCTTCTTACAAATAGTTATTCAAGATACTAAAGTGTAGCTTATAAAGTGGGGATTCAAACAGTGAGATTGCAACCAGTTCTGTTCAACTATCCAACAAAAACTTAGAAATATGGTTATCACTCCTATACACTTAAACATACATGCAGTTATCCATATCTTCAATTATGTTGAGATTGCTGGGTTTCACATTATGACACTCCAGGATCAGCATGGGGTATTTTAGTGTCTCTTTTTCTTCAAAGTATCTGTTCATTTCATCATGTGTCATAAGATCAATTCTCATAAACTGTTTATAGATTCTATACATGCATGAGTCTTAACATGTATTTCTATCCTTTCTATATTAGAGGGAGAAACAAAACAAAGCAAGGCAAACAAAACATATTCCTATAAACACATAAAACAAAATAAACATGTAAGACCATTGTACAAAGAGTTCTACCATGGTTCCTGTGTGGTCTCTTGTTATCTCCAATAGAACTGGCTATATCACCAGACATAGTATAATTGAATATATCAGTACATAACAGTATTAATAAAAACACAACTTTGTATACAGTATAGAACTTCAAACCTGGCAGTTATCAAACCAGAATGTGTATCGTAGAGTCTTGTCATCTTCAGTGTAGTTGCCTATACTCTCGGATTTGATACTAACCATTATATCAGTTTTGAATAAAATCTTCTCTGCGTCATTTCTGTTATGCTCTTTTTTTGCCATCAGTTGTCTGCTTATCTTTTTCATTCTGTTTTCTGCTCCACTCATTGAGGCCTCTCTGTCACTGTTCTTGGAATCCTAGTACTTTTTTTTTTCTCTCTCTAGAATGCTCTGCAGTATTCTCTATAGAGTTGGATTGGTGGCTGAAAATTTCCCAAGCTCCTCTTTGTCTTGGAAGCATCTTGTTTCTCCATTAATTTCTAGAGATAGTTTAGCAGGGTATATCATTTGGGCTTCTAATGGTTGATTGATTGTGTCAACTTGAGACAGTTAGAAGCTAACTAAATGGGTTTAGCAATTCTACACCCAAGGATGTAGAAGAAGACCCACCCTAGGGTGGGTTATCACCTCGAGGTATAAAAGGGGAGGAGGAAGGACAAAATCCATTCCATTCTTGGGAGAAGCTCCAGTCTTCAGCTTTGGT